TATAAGTCATTATAATCAGTAGTTATGTCCCCACTGGATGCAACGAATGCTTCGTTTATAATGGGTTTTCATTTTTTGAATCATCGCTCCGGCCTGACAGGGCATCATCACAATATGGTGAGGGGCGTAACATTTCCGTCACACGCTTGAGGTATTCGGCCAATCACAACGCATTGGATAGCTGGCCAATCACAGCACACCTCGCTTTTTCAGACCGATGAGCTTTGTAAAAATCGACGCGTTTCAGAAAGGTGGGGCATAGAGGAGAAACTATAATGTACAGTATGTGGAAAATAAGGTTTTTTTTTTTAACATTAAACCGCATAAACATATTTCATTACACCAAATACACAAAATACTGTTCTTTTTAGCAGCATCATATGACCCATTTAAAACATAAGATGTGTCCAAAATTGCGTACTTATGCACTATTCTATGACGCTTTGTAGTATAAATTGCGAGTAGTGCATTCACACTGAAAATTCCAAAAAGAAAAAGTGCATTTTAAATACCTGGATGATGCACTTAAATAACTGAAAAAACGAAGTGTGGAATGTTGGACACTTCATGCGCTCAACTGTTGCAGCTTTAATTATGTAGCAAAGGGGGAGGGGCTATCAGAGTCAGATTATGAATGATTAAAAATAACCTTATATACAGTGTCATACACTACATAATTGAGTGCTTAGTGCATGAGTACATATTGTATAAGTGCATAGTGTATAGTGCAGCATTTGGGACACAGCTATAGACTATTGTGTTCAACACTGTTGCATTTTTTTTTTCTTTTAATTTTTTTTTTAACACAACAAAAATGACAGTGTGTTAAAATATGTTAATAATAACAATCTTTAGTGTGTTAAAATTTGTTATTAACACAATCTTTTTGAGAGCATACTAATCAGCTGTTCAGAACCCACAAATATGACAATACTGAAACAAATGTAACTTTTATCTTATAATTTTCTGCATACTCATGCAAAGACACTCATGCACACATATTTCACAATATTTTCTATCACCATTCAAGTCTGTTTCTCAGAATAAATCAGCTTAAATATGATGTTACTTTTCTGAGCAGGGCCCAAATAATTAACACCTACTAATATACGATTCTATGTGCATCTAGAGTTGTTTGTAGCCGTATTTGGACTGTTTCTGTTTCAACAACCCAATGCTTACATCTCTGCTGGTTTATATTTCTGTCTTCAGCTTTTGGAGGATGGTACAGCTATAGGATGTCTAAAGCTGCCTTAAACATGGCCACCAGAAACCTGTCCATTGAGCTGGGTCGAGGGCGCTCTAAAATTGTGTGTGTATCCCTGCATCCTGGAACCGTGAATACAGATTTGTCTCGGCCCTACCATCGAAACGTACCCAAGGACAAGCTGTTCTGCACTGAGTACTCAGTCCAATGCCTTATGAACATTATAGATACTCTAAATATAGACAAAACAGGTAAAGCCTATGCATGGGACAGTACTGAAATACCTTGGTAAACAGTCTTGTCAAAAATGACGGTATTCTGTGTGTACCCCCATTTTAAAATAAGGTGGATGAGAAAAAAATGTAACAAAGGAAAACAATGCTGAAACAAATCATCAAGCAATGTAAGTCTTGCACAAAAAATTAATGTTTGCATTTTAAGGAAACATTGGATTTAAAAATGATTGTTGGTTTATTGAAAATCTTTGAAACATACACAAACATTTCAGGAAGACTTGCTGATGTAACTGTCCTTGTTTCTTTTTCATTTTGACTAAGAATGGTACAGTCTATCTGCTGTGCACAAAACAAAGAACTACCACATCAGATACGAAGAGCTTATCACAAAATTCAGTATGAAAGACGTCATACTTGGATTTTTGTGTTCATGCTATAATAGTAAAATCATTTTAGTACTATTTTAAAATCTATATGCATGGGTAAAATGTTTAATTAAAAAATGTAAAAAAAAATTCTAACTTATTTTTTTTTATTGAATCCAAGAAAGCCTTGAATTTTAGTTATTTTTAACAACTTTTCAATTGTCATTTGCCCTTTTGATCGGACCCAATAAAGCTTTGCTTTTTGTATTTGTTTCATAGATTAAAAACAACTTTTTCAATTGTCATTTAGAATCAATACATTATGGCAGAGATGTCCAGTTCTCTCCTGTCTTTCCAAGCAGTTGAGGTCATTGATGTCACATTCGCTGCAGTTTCCTGAATGATTTGGCCCCTCTCAGTCCTGCAGCTATTTTAGCACCTATCTATTTTGAAAAGTACCGCCCACAATACTTTCCAGAAATGTACACAGTGAGTGAAATGACATTTGATGATGCAATTATTCCTCAACACTCTTTAGTATTTGTCAGATATGCCGTTCTGAAGCTAACTGGAATGACCAAAGTTAGTTAACGGTAGTGATTGGAGACTTACTGGTGATGGTAATTTACTTCTTTTGCCTCTGATTAATGTGGTACTTGCTTGTCTCTGCCACTCAGTCAACTGTCAGTTACTCTTCTTCCCCATTAGGTGGCCAAGCCAATTGAGTGCAATCACAAAAGAAAACAAAATTTTCATCTTAATTAAAAAAAAAATGTTATTAATGACATTCATGTAAACAAAAAAGAACTAATAAATACGTTGTTGTCTTATGGTTAATTATCAAACCTAAATCAAATTCTCAAATATTTACGGTTGCTTCAAAACAAAACATGATTGAAAATAAAGAATAGAATTGTAAGAATTGTTATTAGGCTATAAGTGAAAAGGTGGGAAGTACTTTTTCTACTATTTGAAAACTGTGATAGTTTGCATAAGTTGTGTAGGTTTGTCAGCTGGAAATGTCTGTATTTGATTTATTTCAGCATGAAGATACATCAGAGAGATTTAAAACTATTTCAAATGACCGATAAAATGAGCCTGCATTTCTTCCATAATTGTTATTTCGGTTAATAGATAGATAGATAGAGTGTGTCATCGACACACAAGAGTGACGCAGGCGAACATGCCGTTCACCCTCATACCGCACAGACAAAAGGGAGATATTTAAAGACATTGTTTCAACTGACTTGTGAGGAACGATCTGAACGATCGTTTTGTATGGAAGGCGGACGGGGCCAAATGTCTTTAAACGGAACGCGTGAAATGTGACCGTGTCAACACGCACAATTTGCCCGCGTTAACGCGGCAATTTTGAACGCGTTTCTTTTGTACGTGTAGACACGCACGTTTTGGCCGCGTTAAGGCGTCAGTTTTTGCCGCGTTTATTTGGTACGTGTAGACACGCACAGTTTGACCGCATTAAGACGACAAATTTGAACGTGTTTCTCAAGCACACATTCTGGCCGTGTTCAAACATGTCATATTTTTAAAAGCAGATTTAAGTCCAGATTTACCCACATATTCCTATTTTTTAGCTTTGCTTTACTTATATCTGCTGTGCTAAAGTAAATAAATAAAATAAAAAAATGTTAAATTAAATGTCATATTAAGTAAATGCTAATGATCCATATTGCACAATTATTAATTGTAACATCTATTTATGTTATTGAATGTTTGTTTTAAGTTATACAGGACTATCATTTTCGAAAGTATATATAACTTTACACAGAACATATTATAACTGAATATACATATACTTAGACATAAAAATGAATAAAATATTTATATTTCTGTAATTATATTTATAAATATAAGTAAATAGCACTATGTACACAAAGGTGATTTATAGCAAATGTTCAGTTTAAATTAACAGACAGTGCAATGTCAACCCTAGAATGAATAAAGAAACATAAACATTTGTGATAAATCACAAATCATTCAATCCAGATCATTATAATTCCTGACCCCTCTGACAGACATATCTTCTTAAATTATCAGTTGACTTCTGAAGACATGACTTTGCAAGAGACATTTGGAAAACGCATTATGATCAGGAAAGATCATAAAACAAAGTGAAAAGTGCATGTTTAGGACTATAAATTAGGACTATAAATAGGCTTGTATTTTCACCTACAGATAATGGAATTAAATTAATCAACATACGTTTTATTAGCCATCCATTCAACATCCACTTATTGCTATTGTAGGAGGAGATTTTTTTCCATATAGTCTAATGATTTCAAGTTGCATTAAGTCAGCCATCGTTCTTATAAACGCAGCATATTTTGGACATAAGTACTTTGATCTTCTGTTAGCGATAGAGGATGGTTGTGTGAGTGCGATGCGCGCGCAATGCTCTGCTTGCGCTGGGCTGTAAAACTGGTTCGTGGAGCCATTCTGGGTGACATCATGCGCCGGGTGTTTGACGGGGTGGCTGCCGCAGCGCCAGGACTACATGAGTGGAAAAGTGACCGACAATGACCTCGACCACGTCGTGTGCTAGTGTTTTACACTCGTCGTTTAGTATTCGACACATGTAAACACGCGATTTTATCATCTGTTTTTAGATTAAATCCATGCGTTGGTCAGCCACGAGCCTTTTCTTATCTCGAGAGCGCGACACATCCAACGCGTCTGTGTGTTTCGAGGCTCGCCTCCAACCTTACGCTGTAGCCCTTTGCTGTGCATTGAAATATGGACAAGGCCAAATCAACGATGGATCAGAAAGGATCGGGTCCTTGCTGCACAAACGGCATGCACAAGTCACTCCGGCGACAGCTGAGCAACGGGAGCTGTAGCCCGTACAGTCCGACTGACGATAATTACCACCATCTTCACCACGACCCTCAAACCAACGGGTCCCCGGCGAAAAGGTGCCGGCTGCGGAGGCGAATGGAATCAGCGAGGAAAAACAGACCGCGTAAGTTTATAGTCACAGACACCTTCAGAGTTCATCAGATAATATTTGTACATTTGATTTCAACAGTGTCTGATAAGCAGTAATGCCCTAAGATACACAGGACGTGACCGTGTCAACGTTTAACACATTATTGCGATAGTAATGGTTTACACTGGGCGATTTGTTTGGATTAAAATGAATTTTTGCCAGTGTAATGACATATTAGTTGTCCTAATTTTTAAGACAGTAACTGGCATTGAATGTATGTGTGAATTCATTTCTTGTAAGGTATTTACAGATATCATATCGACTTCAGACCTCACAATTTTACCTCAGGTAATTACTGATCTTTGAACAAGAGTCCAAAGTATCTTAAGGAAGTGCTCGATTCTTTAATCTAGTACCTTTGAGTAGAAAGAATTGAAAATTTGATTTAATTTACTGCCCTCAAAAGCATGTTGCCAAAATTGGGAGGTAATTAACGTAACGTTACACATTTCCAGAGAATATGTAGCTTTATAAATGTTGACAATTTTTTAAGTATAACACAGTAGTTGGTTTATAATAATCTGCAGTCCACTAAGTCAGATAAATCAGTAACTCATGACTGGTTCATAATTGTTTTGTTTTGTTTCACTAAAAAGAACCGATTCATAAGAGTCATTTGTCCGGGAATCGAACTACACTGGACGCACAGTATGTATTTGATTCACTAAAAAGAACCGACTCATAAGAGTCTTTGGTTCGGAAATCGGACTGTACCGGTCTCGCTGTAGTGTTTCTCACTGAAGATTCGGTAGCAGTGTCAGTGAATAGTATTGCAGGAAACCCTGTCAGATTGCGGTGCTCCGTTCGTTTCAGCAAAGGATGACATTCCAATTTTAACGCTTCTCGAACGTTCAGTACATGAAAATTATTCGGGTCTGGCATTTAAAGAAATGCTTCTCAGTTCCCAATCCTAGTACAAACTGTCAATGCTGTATATATTATATATCATATTATTATCTCAATGCTGTCTCTGACCTGTCTTCCGAAGAGTGTCTTTTGTTTTGAGGAAACCTTTGAGATTGTTCTTCTCGCTCTCTGATTGGTCGTTGTGAAGTCAGGAGGTGTGCTGAAATCACTCCTGATGGAAAGGCTCGACGCGCTTTGACCAATCAGCTCTTAACTTTTGTCTTCGCGTGGCCGCTTTAAAGGGCTTGACAGAAACGCCTCCACCCTACACTATGCAGAATTCTCCGTTTTTATTCACTTTTTCAAAGCGACGCTAAGAATTCAACTTTGAAAGTGTAGTTATAATGCCATTACAAACCAAACTAAACTATTAATTCCGTTTTGCCTGTGGGCTCCCCTGCTGTTTGGGCGTTTTTGTTTGCACTTTAATATATTAGGACTGCCAGCAGGATGAAGTTGAAGTGTTCAAGGAAGCCAGGTAAGACATCACCTCATCCATGTGTGATGTTGTAAAAAACCTACTTCCTTGGAATTGCTCTGATAGTTTTCGTTTTTTTGTTGTTTGTTTGTTTGTTTGATTTTTCATTGCAGCTACTTTGGTGACACTGTAAATTGATTTATTTTCTTTGGTATTTACTAAAGTGCAAGTATGTTGTAAAATAAAGTGACTTCGTGTCAGGTTTAGTTTGTGTTGCCAAAGGTAATGGCAGCAGAAAATTGAACGCTTAATACAGCATTCATACAGTTCAGCGAGTCTTTAGTTGTCAGACTGCATGCCAGGCCAGCTTGTCAACATTCCTTAGGTTTAGTCTTGTTTTTTGTGTGTTGTAGTAACACCTTTCTTAGCAGCAATTGTTTGTTTTATTGGTTTATTGTTCTTTTAAATATACTCAACCAGGGCTCGACAATAAGGAGTGCCCGATGGCCCGGGCCCAGCGTGAAAGACGTTCGGGACAGACGAATTTGTCACTTGCCCGATCGGGCCACTGCAGCGTCGTCACGAAATTTTATCATTTGCATGTTTTTTAAGCCTTGTTAATTAAAAAATTCAAGCGATTAAAAAGCTTTTGGGCGCGAAAGACAACTCCATTCAGTATTCACGCGCTGTGTGTTCTGTGCGAACAGCGCGCGCACAGACAGCCGCGTCTCTGACACGCGCGAGCCGCCTGAACGGGCAAATACATACAAAAGTAGGCTATGTCAAAATACCCGTCCTGGCAAGTAGCTTTAACAATGATCAATCTATATTGAATTTATACACTAGAGTACAGATGCACCGATCGACCGGACATTTTTTGTTTTATTTCAGACTATCTTCTGTTCTGTGCTTGCACACAAACTGCACTGCAATTATTTTCCCAATGGCCATTTGTGTGGAAATATTACTATTATAATTAGTCTGTATACGGTCATTAACAGAGGCCAGAGATGCTGAAGACGGACACAAAGAGGAGAAAATACTGTAGCAGACAGAACAAGATCACTGTTCACGATGCACGAAATATAGGAAGAAAATCCAAATATTGAATTTTATATGAATGCTAAAGCGTTTCATCCAGGTCGTCAGTAGAAAACAATGGAGCACGCTCTGCTGGACAAACTAAGTAATTACACCATTTCAAGCATTTTATCTGCGTTATATGTTATGTAAAAAAAATTTCATATCGGCGGCATATTCGCCGATACAAATATATCGGCGACAGGCTCATATTGGCCGATAATATCGGCAAAACGATATATCGGTCGGGCTCTAGTATTAACCATATATTTTATTTAGATATTTCTTTTCTCAGTTGGTAAAGACTTCTATGAGCTGACATTTTACATTTATTCATTTAGAAGATGTCTTTATCCAAAGCGACAAATGATGAATACAACAAGCAATTTATTATAAGGAGGCAATAACACAAGAAGTGCTGGCAATGCAAAGTTTCAAAAATTGTCTTTTGTACCTTGAAGCCACCGCAGACCCTTGTAGGCCGAAGCGCTGGTAGTCTCCTCCATAGATGTCCTTCACCAGTTTGTCCACATTGGTGCTGTCCCCTTTGCTGGCCATTTCAAGGGCCTCTTCAAATGTCTCACAACCCGTCAACAGGCAACAAAGCCCCAAAATTGTCCCTCCACCAAGACTAAAGAGAGAAAAAAAATGAGAAAGAAACAATTCGAGTCAAAACATGGTTACAGGCCACATCTGAAGTGCACATGTGCATTCATAAAAGCATACAATTTGACCTTGTGACCACTATTTAAACTATGTGCCTATGGCAAAAACAGGTCAAAAACAGACTAGCTTACAAAAGGAGACAAGTAACAATGCCATCAAGTAACAATTAACAAGTAACAATTGTCTAACAAGTAGACAAGTGTTGTGGTCACTGCAACACAAAGCAAGGTCTACGTCACACATTATATAATATTACACATACTTTACCAGAAATTTGGAATAACTAAGATTTTATGTTTTTGAAAGAAAACACTCCTGATGTTTTTCTATGAGCCTGACATTTTGAGGAAAACACTCCTGATGGAAAGGCTCGATGCGTTTCGACCAATCAGCTCTTAACTTTTGTCTTCGCGTGGCCGCTTTAAAGGGCTTGACAGAAACGCCTCCACCCTACACTATGCAGAATTCTCAGTTTTTATTCACTTTTTCAAAGCGACGCTAAGAATTCAACTTTGAAAGTGTAGTTATAATGCCATTACAAACCAAACTAAACTATTAATTGCTCCCCTGCTGTTTGGGCTTTTTTGTTTGCACCTGAATATATTAGGACTGCCAGCAGGATGAAGTTGAAGTGTTCAAGGAAGCCAGGTAATACACAAGCAATTTATTAATAGGAGGCAATAACACAAGAAGTGCTGGCAATGCAAAGTTTCAAAAATTGTCCAGAAAGTACAAGAAGGAGATATACAGTGGGTACGGAAAGTATTCAGACCCCCTTAAATTTTTCACTCTTTGTTATATTGCAGCCATTTGCTAAAATCATTTAAGTTATTTTTTTTCCCTCATTAATGTACACACAGCACCCCATATTGACAGAAAAACACAGAATTGTTGACATCTTTGCAGATTTATTAAAAAAGAAAAACTGAAATATAACATGGTCCTAAGTATTCAGACCCTCTGCTCAGTATTTAGTAGAAGCACCCTTTTGATCTAATACAGCCATGAGTCTTTTTGGGAAAGATGCAACAAGTTTTTCACACATGGATTTGGGGATCCTCTGCCATTCCTCCTTGCAAATCCTCTCCAGTTCTGTCAGGTTGGACGGTAAACGTTGGTGGACAGCCATTTTTAGGTCTCTCCAGAGATGCTCAACTGGGTTTAAGTCAGGGCTCTGGCTGGCCCATTCAAGAACAGTCACAGAGTTGTTGTGAAGCCACTCCTTCGTTATTTTAGCTGTGTGCTTAGGGTCATTGTCTTGTTGGAAGGTAAACCTTAGTTCCAGTCTGAGGTCCTGAGCACTCTGGAGAAGGTTTTAGTCCAGGATATCCCTGTACTTGGCCGCATTCATCTTTCCCTCGATTGCAACCAGTCGTCCTGTCCCTGCAGCTGAAAAACACCCCCACAGCATGATGCTGCCACCACCATGCTTCACTGTTGGGACTGTATTGGACAGGTGCCTGGTTTTCTCCACACATACCGCTTAGAATTAAGGCCAAAAAGTTCTATCTTGGTCTCATCAGACCAGAGAATCTTATTTCTCACCATCTTGGAGTCCTTCAGGTGTTTTTTTAGCAAACTCCATGCCGGCTTTCATGTGTCTTGCACTGAGGAGAGGCTTCCGTCGGGCCACTCTGCCATAAAGCCCCGACTGGTGGAGGGCTGCAGTGATGGTTGACTTTCTACAACTTTCTCCCATCCCCCGACTGCATCTCTGGAGCTCAGCCACAGTGATCTTTGGGTTCTTCTTTACCTCTCTCACCAAGGCTCTTCTCCCCCGATAGCTCAGTTTGGCCGGACGGCCAGCTCTAGGAAGGGTTCTGGTCATCCCAAACGTCTTCCATTTAAGGATTATGGAGGCCACCGTGCTCTTAGGAACCTTAAGTGCAGCAGAAATTTTTCT